TTCACTCACACATAGCCTTGTAGACTCCTGCAGGTCCCCTTAGTGAAGGTCCCCTTCACTCACACATAGCCTTGTAGTCTCCTGCAGGTCCCCTTAGTGAAGGTCCCCTTCACTTACACATAGCCTTGTAGACTCCTGCAGGTCCCCTTAGTGAAGGTCCCCTTCACTCACACATAGCCTTGTAGTCTCCTGCAGGTCCCCTTAGTGAAGGTCCCCTTAGTGAAGGTCCCAGCTTTGCATCATCCAGATCCATTGTCATTCTGCACAAGGTGCAATGTTTAGCATCAGGCTGCATTATTCATTTTAAAACAAACATTTACATTACATTTATTAAACAAAATCTTTTATCCAGTCCTTTTGTCGGCCAGTCCCAGGAGCCACTGGGATTAAGAACCTTAATCGGTGACATCACTCTGCCCCCTACAATACTGTGCAAAGACTTAGGCAGCCAATGATAATGATGCTTAAATGATCTTCATGTTGGTGTAAAATCTATGATGTCATGTCACAGGATGTCAGCTTAGCCGTTTCAAAACTTCTGGCAAAATCACCCCAGTGTTTGCAGCGACCGTCCAACACAGCCACGTGTTTTTTGACTCGACCACTAACACACCAGATAAAGCTAATCAATACCCGTGTGACTTTTTAAAACTAGTTTAATTAATTAAATAAGTGGTTAAATTTAACGTGGAATGGCTGCGGTGCCCCTGAGGGGAGGTTTGGGATCTAAAGCGGCGTCCATCTAGTCATCCACCTAGATATCAGTAACTTTTTGGAGAACAGAAGAAATTCTTACTAGTTTTAATTGTGTTTCTCTTAATTTGCATATGTTTTAAATTGCTTCCGGCTGCTCATCGGCTTTTGCTTCCCTCTCCCTGCCCCTCTAGTGTGTCGCTTTGCCTGCCACAGGAAATGCTGCCTCAGAACCACAGCCAAGTGCAGTAAAAAGGTATGTGATTGTCGGTCCCTGGGGTTCAGTCGTTCTCCAGGACCAGTGGTTAACCAAGTATACACACACACACACACACACGCATATATATATATGTGACCAAAAGTATGTCGACGCCAAATTGACCAACATCTCATTCCGAAACGCAGGGTATTAATATGAAGTTGGTCCACCCTTTGTTGCAATGTTGCAATGCCCTCCTCTTTTCTGGGAAGGCTTTCAATTGGATGTTGGGACTTGGCTGGTGGGATTTGCTCCCAATCAGGTTGGATGTTAATGTTGGGTGATCAGGTCCCTTTCTGTGGGCCTGTATGTCCTACCACTTCCCAGCTGAACTTGCTCCCAGACATTTTGACCTTCACTGTCACTTCACTTGTGGTTGAGCAGGCCGGCTCTAGCAGGGCGGAAATGTGGCAAACTGACGTGTTGGAAAGATGGCGTCCTATGATGACGCCATGTGGAATGTCACCCCGCTCCTGTACAACCACCTACTCTGCTACTAATATATGTTGCAAGAGATGACATGACTGTGCTTAGTTATACACCTGTGTCAGCAATGGGTGTGGCTTAATTGGGTAATTTTATTAATTAATAGGGATGCCCACATGTTTTTGGCCATATATGCACTGTAGTTGGACTGGCTGCCCAAGATTTATAGTGCGGTACCGTGCTCACCTGCTCCATGCGTCCATCCATCTGTGTCCCCGTCTCTGTGTGCCGGGGCAGTATGACCCGGAGATGACCCCCAGGCAGTTCAGCGTGGAGGTGTCACGTCTGACCAGCGAGGACAGGGTGGTGCCATTAGTGGTGGAGAAGCTGATCAACTATATCGAGATGCATGGCCTTTACACAGAGGGTATCTACCGGAAGTCTGGCTCCGCCAACAAGATCAAGGAGCTCAAACAAGGATTGGACGCAGGTACACTGGGCAGGCTGGTCTTATTCTGGCTGGGGAACAGGGACACTGCGCAGGCTGGTCTTATTCTGGCTGGGGAACAGGGACACTGCGCAGGCTGGTCTTATTCTGGCTGGGGAACAGGGACACTGAGCAGGCTGGTCTTATT